TTTACTCGTTTTCTCTTTTAAAACTTCTTAATTGTGTAATTAGTTGAAACCTTAACTGCATCTCATTTGTTTTGCGTAAATTGCACACTAATATTTATCCATTATTGTGTAGGAAAATACGGATTAAATCAAAAAGTGTATGGGAAACTTATGATCTATGATGATAGTTACTTGCAAACTAAACAAGCAGTTAGAATTTAATGCAGATGGTTTCCTTTTCTTTTCCTTGAGTTTTGTATCCGCATTTTGGGACTAAAAATGTGTATATTTGTATAGACTTAACTTACAGAAGGGCTAAAAATGTGTATAAAAATATTGAGGGATGAAAACTAAGTTGAGGGGCCAAAATTGGCATTTAAACTCAGAATTTCTAGGAAGTTTGCTTCTATTGATTTTTAGTTGTCTTTTCACCTCTTATTGGTTTGGTCTTAGATTTTTAAAAATTGCATTGCTACTTTAAAACTTGCATTGGCAACATTCGCTTCTCTAAACAACAAGCTACGTTAATGTTATGCTTCTCTACCCCCACCCCACACCACCAACACTGACACACGATGAGAAAGTGCTATTTAGGAAGTTTTTTGGAGTGGTATTACTATGCTTCATCCGACTTGCCAATTTAAGTCATGTTTTTTTCTCATGAGTCCAGGAGCTGACCAAGTTCATAAACCATTGTAATGAGATAAAAGCAGCCACAGTGGCTACCAAGGATGGCGGCCAACTAAGTATTGTTAAAGTACCTCCACCAGAACCATCAAAAACTACCAAGGAAGAGTGATGCTGTTGCAGAAAGATTGATGCTTAGAGATGAATTGTTAGGAAAAGTAGCAGCTTCTGGGACAAGGATCATTTCAATTGTGTTGTTATATCTATCTATACCTTGTTGTTCATTTCTGATTCTTTGTTTTCTGGCTTCACTCATGAGTATGTGTGTATTGTGATACTCAACAATTTTGAACTTGGAAGATTGACAAATGAAAAGTAACTTTACCCAAATTGAACTAACCATAGTACCAGCTACATCAATAAACAACTTTTCTCTTCGAAATTTGAATCATGAATTATCTCGTCTGTCATTGCCTATTTTCAAAAAAAAAAAAAAAGAATTATCCCATCTGGTAACATAGGGTGTCATTGTTGTTTCAAGTAATGTCTATAGATGATAAGGACACATGGGACAAGTTGACGTGGATTCGAGTCATCGAGTCTGTTTATACGGTACAATGCAATATTGTCAACATTGGTGGAGCTCAAGCTTACGTTCGAACCATAGTGATTAGCATGTGGCACAATGTATTCTCTTTACCCTCCAATTGGCCAATTCAACAAGGCAAATGATGGCTTCGCTTTATCCAATCCTGGCCAAGCGGGGGCTGGAGTGGTAACTGGCTGCTCGGTTTATGCGAAATGTTGGTTATTCTACTGCTCTTGCAACTGAACTTTGGGGCATTAGAGATGACCTGAAACTGATTGTGGATAAGGGTTTCAAAAAAATTATCATTAAAACTGACTCTAAAGTGGCCCTTATTTTACTTCATTCAAATAGCTATCAACACCACTCACTTGCTGCTTTACTGAATGATTGCAGGATGTTGTTGCTCCAACTCCTGGAAGTGCAAATTAAACATACATATCGTGAAGTGAACATGGTTGCTGATTATCTAGCTAAAACAGGATGTAGTCTAGCTTACCTGTCCTTTTGTTATTTTAGAGCAATGTGCTACTAAAACTAGAATGGTTCTGTACTTTGATATTATAGGGAACTTAATTCCCAAGTCTGTATCGACTTGCTAATCGTATATATATACAGTCTCTTTCTACCAAAAGAAAGAAAAAACAAGGCAAATGATGTCTTGCCCGCACCATTCTTGGTGAGAGCACTGCTTGTTGGCCCAAACGCTTTACCCACCAGTGGAGAATAATCATTGCGACTTCCTTACCCCTCATCTTTAAATAGGTCCTTCCTTTCCTACTCTTGGTCTTTATATTGCCTTTTTTTTTTTATTGAAGAAAAAAAAAACTTTTGTGGGCTGGCCTTTTATATAGGTGGGTTGCAACAATAAGTATGGGCTAGTCTGAAATCATTCCATCGTTTTTTAAAAGTGAGTACACTATGGGCCGACCTGATATTCTCGTGTAGGGTGTAGAAGCCACATCCACTAGGTATTGGGATTGGGCTAAGATATGGGCTTCAATAACCAAAAGTAAAACGAAAGAAATTAGGTGAGGATGGCAAGTTACCTTTTTTATTAACAATGCAATGAGGGTGTATTCTCTCTAAGGATAGTGATACTGTGTGCTTCAACCTAGACTATTCTAATTACCTTTTTTCTTATAAATTGACTCCAATTCTATTGTTTATTCATATGTAGTTATTTCATTTGCATTAATAATTTGTTCTACACTTTCTTTGTTATAATATTTTCTTGGTTTCAGGCTATTCTTTTTCAACAATATAATAATAAAAAATATGAACAAGCGTATTCCATATAGAAACAGATGCCTTAGAAATAGCTAAGGAATCTCCCTTTGGATTTGTTTGAGAATGATATCCATTTTCTTGGTACAACCATATGATTTTTATTGAAAAACTAATAAATACTGAATGAAGGGGGGAAAAGGGAAGTTGATAACAATAAAGTCAACAGTTGAGATTCAAAAGGTAATGAAACCATTCTCCTTCAAGCATTCAACAGTATCTTTGAGACTCACCTCCAAAGGTATGAAGTTGACACCCAAGCTCTTAATTTTCTCATTGGATATTTGGAACACTTTCTGAATAGGTTTATCCTCAAATCTATAGAAACAACAAATCAATTAGATTATAAAAACATAAGATGATATCTGATCTAGTGTGATTGTGAAAACAAAAATTGAAATTCAACTTACTTTTCATTGAGGTGGAATACAGGGAAAAGTCGATGCAAGATCTTCCATAACTCAGTAACATCTACGGTGCTTTCAGCCATGCAGTATCTGCCAGTAGCTGAAGGAATCTCAAATGCTTGAATATGAGCATGTGCAACATCTCGAACATCCACAAATACACCATATGGTGGGAGTTCCCGTCCTACATACAATACACTTTTCAGCACAGATCAAACTATATTAGAAACATAACAATTGCTACTATTCCCCAATATTACTGCAATTATATATATACTAGCAATTAATTACCAGTGACAATGTTCAATATGAGCTCCACAGTGAAATTAAGGGTTGGCTGTAGAATAGGACCAATCACAAATCCTGGATTTATTGTAACCAAATCAAGCCTGTTCTCCTTTGCAAACTTCCAAGCAGCCTCTTCAGCTAATGTCTTTGAAAGGTCATACCAAAACTGATAATAATAAACATATACTACTAGTTTTAGCCCTTTTTATATATTCAAAAT